AACAACAATACTGACTTTATCTTACAGGATTACTGGGAGAATTAAGTGAAATAATAGTATATGTAAAGAATTTTGAAGAGTAAATAGTAAACATTAAATAAATACATATTAGCTATTCATGGTTGGTTATATTCTTTAAAAACAAACAAAAATAAATCAACAAAACTCTCCCACTTCTACTATGGTTATCCTGTTATTGACACAGAGTCAGGTCAGGTCAGGTCAGCCTGGGAATAAGAAGTCAAGTATTGGGGAGGAGGATATAGCTCAAGCAGTAGAGTGCATGCTTAGCAAACACAAGTACCTCCTTTAAAAATAAATAAGTAAATCTAATTACAAGAAAGAAAGAAAGAATACCCTGAAGGGGACAGCCAAATCTCAGGAAGGAGCAAGACCTCAAAAGGAAATTCCAACTCAAAAGGTTCACCTTAAGTAGGAAGGAATTCTCTCCCAACTCTGTAACTTCTGCTCCCCTGCTCCCCATTCCTAACCTGGTCGCATATGAAGGCAATCCAGGCTTCACTATGATGGTAGTGGACTAGAGAACAAATCACATTCTTAGTTCAAGATTACTTTCAGCATCTATTCCACTGTTGCTGTCTCTGAGTCTTCTGTAAAATGTTCTAGCACCGTTTCAATCAGGCTTTGGGAAACTAAGAGAATTATCCCGAGATCCCCATAGTACAAGGTGAATCTTGTAGAATACTAGTTGAAATGGTAAGATCTGGTAGACCTTTCCCATTGAGTTTTTATCCCCTCTCCATTGCTGATGCGGGGACTGACTTATTAAGGAAAGAAGCAGTTTTCTTTATAGTGACAAAGTTGTCAAACAGTGGTAAATATTTTCTATTTCACCCTCAATGAACTCTTATTTTACACAATTAGAAAGCACTTCCATGCTACATTAAAATATTTCTAGGAAGAAAATAGGATTTTAAAATATTTTAATACCACAAAGACTCTTTTTTCCTAACTTCATTCCCATTTTTTTATTATCATGCCATTTACCATTAAATAATTTTATCTATACGTGATTACATAATGTCCCATCTCCCTTTACAAAAGGATAAAATTCTTACCTGCTTCCTTTCTTTTAGGATTTAAACAATACACCATATAGAATAATAAGTAGTCTCCTTTGAAACTTCATTTTCTAATTTAGCAATAAAAAATTTCTGACAATCATTCAAAGTAGAATTTGTACTCCACATCTAATAATTCACTTCTAATAATTTATTATGTGTATCTATTACAAACACTAATTAAGAAAATGAGCAAAAAGAATTATCATTAATTTGTAATTTCATACGCCATACCTATATAAGAGTATTAAGAAAAGAAACTGAAAGGTAATTTAAATTGAGAACAGGTAAGAGATACACAGAAACTCTGACAACTTAAACTAAGAACTAGTTTCAAATGTTCATCCAACCAGCTGGTAATCAATCTCACTGATTTAAAGAAAACCCATCACAGTGAAAAGTCTGAGTATTTATTTTAAAATGCAATTTCCTGCTTTTAGATACATATGCTTCTCAAGCAAATAAGAAAAGCTTAGCATGCACAAGGTCCTGGGTTCAATCCCCAGTACCTCCTCCATAAATAAATAAACAAACAAACAAACAAACAAACAAACCTAATTACCTCCCCAACAAAAGAAAACTTAAAAAAAAAAAAAAAACAGCATCTATAGTAGCCAGTCTCAAAAGGGCATGGTCCCAACAAATTTTCCCTCTCTATGCATGCCACTCCTCTAGTCTATAGGTAGTATCATTTTCCTGCCCTCAGACTCTGGGCTGGCCTTAATTGTCTCTCACCAATAGCAACATTCTCAGATTTCCAAACCTAGGAATTAAGAGAATTAACTGATTGGCTTCTATCTCCTGTCTCCTGGAATGCTTCTTCTTAGAAACCAGGCACCATGTCTTAAAGAAATCCAAAGGTTCTGTGAAGAAAGGAGGCCCACAATAAAGGAGGACAGAAGATCTATGGCACTAGCTGAACTCTCAACCAGTGGCCAGTGGCCAGCCATGTGAGAGTGTGGCCATTTGAACATTCCAGCCGTGCTGGCACCCCAGCCAACATTAAGTAAAAACAGAAAACTCATCAGTCAGCCACAGATTTGTTTGTTACACAGCAAGTTACCCTTTATACTGTTTCAATTATCTATCAATTCTATTTTTTTTAAAAAGCTATATGTCCTAAAATTATTACATCCACATGTCAAATGCTTCCCCAGTTCTAAGATTCTGGGACTGGTGTATCCTGTCCATTTAAAAATAAACGTCAAATTCATCCCTCAACTTGTTTTACACATATATATGATAGATAAAGATATATAGAGATATCACAAAAATCCAAGGGTAAACTAGATCATGTGTGAATTATGGTTAAATCTGAATTAGCACTCACTGATAAGATTTTATTATAAAACCTCTAATCAAAGTACTACATTAATGTAGTAATGAGCAAAATTCATGAAAGACAATATCCATTTCATGTTACCATTTTAAACAAATGTTACTTCTCCTTAAACTATGGAAATCAGGGCATCTGTACAAAAACTGTCACTCACAATTCACAATTGAGGGAAGGGGTAAGGCCAAAATAAAGCCAAATACTACATAAAAATTTCATTTTGATTAAAAGAATAGCCCTTCCGTGTGTACTGTGCACCAATTACTAGGTGCAAGCACAAATAAAATATCTTCCTATCTCCACTGAGTAAATAGACATGTTACAGCAAGATAAATGCGACCAAAGGCAAGTTGTGACTTACTCAGATTCATAAGAAGATTGTTACTGCGTTGAAAAAGAATACCAACTCTCTCTCTGTTCTCTGCTTCAGTTATTAAGGTGTTTCTCTTGGTGACCCTCTTCCAGTTGGCCTTTTCTCAAACAGCAGCCATAATAGCAGGCAAACTCAAAAATGAAGGTAACTAAAATTAAAGAAAAAACTGACTTCTCCCTTTGGAAACTGACTCAACATTTAATAATGTGCGGTGTTCCGAAAGCTGCAAACTACTACATAGCCATCTCCAGCTCCACTTTGACCATTATCAAAACATAACTCACTGGTACAGAGCAGAGATCAAGTAGTTGAGAATGTTCCCAGGCTGAGGTCTAACAGCCAGTAAAGAAGATGATCTCATAATATCTCTTTATGATCTGTAAATCACATTATTCCATAAATCTGACATAAGTGTCAAGATTAGGATTGAATCAACTTCTAAGCAGGAAAACAAAAAATAAGCAGCTACCACTTTTCCAACTTAAATCTAGAAGCTAGCAGCAAATAGAAAGCAACTTTCTCTCATGTATAAAGTCCAAAAAAAATCAAAGCTTCTTCTTAATATTTTAGAATTTCAACATTGGGCAGAAACTCAAGAATTGTCTTCAGGCCTTAGAGAATTTTGTTAATGATACACATGAATTCTAGCTAGGTGTTTTTGAAAGCACTAATAAAAAATTAATAAAATTTTAGTAAATTTGACCAGTCTTTGAAAAAGTATTCTTGTAAATAGGGCAGTTTAAATCGTATTTTCAATTAGGTTAGTGTCCACGTGTGTTTAGATTTATTTCGGTATCTCAGGTAAAGACATAAAATAACAACTATTTAACAAAAGAAATAAGATTTGGAGTGAAAAGTTACAATCACTTCTGAAAACGCAAGACTCAACTGTAAATAGTATCAATGTCCCTAAGAATACCTATTAAGATAGAAGTCTAAGCATCCCATCATTCATTAGCTGTAACCACCTGGTTTTACGCCTAGGATATAAAAAAAGCAGCATCAAATTAAAAGTGTTAAATATCAGACTATGCAAATTTGCCAAACATACCCATATCAAAAAAAGAAAATGACAGTCAAAGAACTAGACTCCAAAGGATTTAAACACATTGACAAAATCCAATGCAAGTTCATACTGTGCTTCAACCTAAAACTGGTAAGTAACTACCCTTCCCCACTACCTGCATTCCCCCTTTTATCTCCTGAATTTCTCCACTGATCTTACCACTTTTTATGAGTCTTCTGATTCCTCCATGGCCTTTCCTTTCCCATAAAGTGATACAGCACCTAGTCCCCACATTTTACTATCTCTACACTTTAGCATTAAGTTTTGTTTTACCCTATTAGACATTAACTATGCCCCCAATCTCCTCTACCCAGGTTTCCTTAACCAATCAACTTCTTCGTTTTCATCACCTGGTCCTTACCACAGTATCTAGCCTCTCCTTTCAAACTAGAGGATGTATCTCCTTTCCTGACGTTTGCAATTCTCCATCTCAGTCAACAGCCCCTTCCTTTCCCACAGACTGTCACCATTGCCCTTGATCCCCATCCCCAGTTCTTTTTCTTCCTAAGTAAGGCCTAGTCCTTTCCAGAGTTTGTCAACATTAGTTTGGCCAAGCTGGGGTTGCACCCTGAAGGTAAAGACTATCTCTCCTACCCCATTCTACAAAACTAGAAGTCTCCCACCTGCCCGGGCTTTCTCTCCTCCACCCTTAGATTCATCTGCATCCCTCCCCCAACTCCCAGTATCTTTCCTCCCACTATCCCGCGCTCCCCTTCCCCACTCCTGAAAGCACCTCTTCTCCAGGGCCTCACCAGTAACCCTGACACGGGGAAGGCCCTGCCAGCGGCCTCACGGCGTCTCTCCTCCGGGGTTCCTCCGCCCTTCAGTAACTGTCCCCACGCCCCTTTCCCTCCAGGGCCCCGCGCGCCACTCAGAGCCCCCCTCCCCGATTAAGCTCCCGCTGTCACTTGGCTTCTCCTCCACAAGATGGCGGAGCTGCTGCCCCCACCCCCAGGTCCTCTCCGCAACCCCTTCCTTCCTCCCAGGAGCTCCCGTCCCGTGCCTTCAGCCGCCCCCGCCGCGGGCCTCGGCCCAGGGTCCGGCTGCCCCCTCCTCCAGCAGGCAGGCGGCCCAGGCCCAAGCCTCAGCGACGCCGCCAACGCCACTGCCTCCACCGTTCCCTGACCTGAACCTTCTCCTCACCATAAACTTGAGCGCTTTTTCCTGCAGTACCGCCTCGGCCGGGTCCATAATCGCCGGAGGCCACTGGGTCTGCACTCCACTGGGGCCGCCCCCTTGGTGCCAGGCCGCAGCCAACGTAGCGCCTGAATCCCGCCTCCTCTTCCTTGCCCCCGCCCTCTTACCGCTCAGGCTGCGGGGCCAGAGAGGGCCGGCTGTTCCGTGCGCATGCGTGAAACCGCTGCCTCATGGGCTTTGTAGTTTCGGAGATTCCCTCAGCAAAAAGAGAGGCCACACCACGAACTGCAACTCCCGCGGTTCACTGCGGTAGGGTCGCGGTGGCTAACAAGCCAAATCTAGACAACTCGCCCTCAAGAAGAGAAAATCAGCGGATGGGAATCGTAGTTTACAGCCTCTACGGCTGGGAAATGGGAGGGGTCCGGGTGTCTCCGTGGTTACCGAGAGACGCCAGTGGCGACTTGCCTGGCAATTGATATCAAGATGGCGACCAATGAATGCCTCACCTGTAGCCGAAATACTAGAAAAAACTGAGAGGACAGAGGTCCTAGGACCACCTTAGCTGTGAACTAGAAGGCCCCAAATTCCATATATCTGGCGTCTGCGGGACAGATTTCGATACAGAGGCGTTGGGCCTATGGGCACCTGGTATCACCTCACAGACCAATGCGAAATTTCAAGGCCCTCTAAACCGTCGCCCACACTTTCCCTTATTCTAACCCACAACAAGGGCCGGATGAAACCCGGCTCAGGAAATTCTAGGGTCTCAAAGTATGGCCAGCTATTGCTAACCCTGAGATGTAAAGTAAGCCCTGCATTAAGGGTTAAACAGGTATTTGCAAAAGGCCTTTAATGGTGGAATATAATGGCCACCCAGCAAATAAAGCATGTAAGTATTTAGTTTGGCCTTAAAACAGACAGTAAAAATTTATTTTGGAAATTGGGTTTACCCTAGGTAGAAAAAACACTAGGGTTGGCTAAAAGTGATAAGCTTGTACACAATATCTCAATTTATAATTTAAATGAATTAGGGAAATGCCTTTTCAGTTATAAGAAATTTACCATTGTAAACTTTTATTCATTTGTTCATTCAACAAACAGTAAGCACATAACCATGTGCAGACATCATGCCAAGAAGTGGAGGTTCGTTAATGAACATGATAGACCTGGTCTTGCAGAGCTTATATTTCTAATATGCTGATACTCTGCCCTAGTCATCCTTATGTCCTCAATACCTTATACATAATAGGCATTCAGTTAATAAAAAGTTTTACTCTGGAATTAAAAAAAAAGTTCTACACTAGAGCAAAATGAAGTGGACTTAAAACTCACTCACATGAAAACTACCTGCAAGTTTTCATAAGACTAAGGCAGTACGTGACATGGTTGCCAAAAAAAAGCTAAAGGAGTCCTAAGCAGCTTGAAGAGAGTAGTGCCTAGAGAACAGAGGTTTGTGGGTTTTATTTTCTTTTGAATCACTAAGACCACACCAGGAGTATTTTGTTAGGTTATGGGCACCATGTTCTATAAACGGTATGCAGGAGCATAGCCAAGGGCAAGATAACCAGAAGAGAAAATATTGGTGGATGCTTACTCTGAAAAAAGAGCATTTAGGAATAACATGACAACTAAATTCAAGTATTTCAGAATACTGAATGGCATGAAAGGCATGTATGTACTCAATAGGGCAAACTAGGACCGATGCATGGGATAATAATGATAACAGCTGTCACTTTATTAGCTCTTTGTGCCAGGCACTGTACTAGGCATTCTGTATTCATAATCCCTAATGTAGAGTAATTTTGTATTATTATTATAACTTTGTATTATAATGTAGAGTAACTAGGTATTATTATCCCTAATTTACTGATGAAGTAAATGAGACTGATAGAAGATAAATAACTTGCTCAAGATATACAGCAAATTACAGTCAGGATTCTAATTCAAGTCTGCTTGCCTCCAAGGCCTATGCCATTTTCACTGAACCACATTGTAGTGACATAGGACTCAGATTCAGAGTTTCTAGTAATCAGGGCTGACAAAGGAACTGATTGCCTCATCCCTGAAAACATGTAGGGGCAGGATGATCATATTGTCTAGGGGGGCCAGTTGGGTGGGAGGTTAAAATCTTTTAAACTCTGAAACCCTATTCTGTTGAGAAGTTGTATGTATAGAGGAGTATGAAAATATTGCCTGATAAGGCTGGCAGTTGGTCTTTTTGTTCATACGGTTCTTGCAAAATAGATATTGGTTTGTGTGCTATATTTTAAATTCACAAATGTAATATTGTTGTATATTTCATTATGTTTCATACTTTTTGAATCCAGTACCTATGGTTTTAAGATCCATTCATATTGCTATGTGTACATCTAACCTGTTGCTTCTAATTGCTGAATAGTAATCTGATGTTGTGTATCCCCCACATTCTACCTATCCACTCTCCCAGCAAAGCCTCCAGTTCCCAATCACCCCCAATAACACTGCTGTAATCAACCTCCTACATGCCCCCTGAGTGAGAATATCTTTGGGAATACATACGTAAGATCTTACTTGTTGGTCCATAGATTATTAAGGACACTTAATTGGACTATGTAGTGCCAAATCATAATACAGAAAGAAGTCTACACTTCCTCCACACTTCTACCACTACACTTCTACTATACTCGGCATTATCTAACTTTCCACTTTTTTTTGCTAGTCTGTACATTTTACCTTCTCGAGGCAACTTCCAACCCACAAGGATCGTGCCCTTTTTAAACACACTACTCTGCTCCTCTAACCCCGATTCCTTATAACACATGGCAGGCCAGAGCTAGAAATATTCTACTCAAATCTGTGCTTTTTCTCATCCCACGGCTTTCACCTCTCCTGTACCTGTTGGGGTTCTCAACCCTGATCACACATGAGTCATTAGAGGAACTTTATGAAAAAACACTGATGCCCAAGCTCTACCCCTGATTTAATAGATTCATGGTAGGCCCTTGGCAATGGTAATTTTAAAAGGTCCCCAGATGATTCTAATCTGTAGCCATATTTGAGACCACTGCCTTCTTGCTGACCTCTGGATAGCCAGAGTCCCCCTCTATGCCTACCTTGACTCCCAAACTCTAGAATTACTCACCTTCCCCACCCCCCAAAAGCCCCCTCTGTTTTCCAAGAACAACCAATCAAAACTCAAGGTTGAATGCGAGCAAAGAGATTACGTGATTAAAAACCCATTAACTATTTGAATATTTGATAGACTTAATCCTAGGGTCTAGAAGTCCAGAGGAGGTAGAAAAGTTTATTTGTATTTCAGTTGGCAAGAAAGATACTGTTTTAGTTGGGAGTTAGCCAAACAATTTTCCCCCTTCCCCTCACTTACTTGTCTGCATAAAATATCAAGAGTCAGTTCCATACTTCTGAAAGTTTGCTAACCCCATTCGAGCTCTATGTTCTTGTACTTAAGTGGAAGGAGTCATTATTAACAGTTAACTGTGATCCAGATTAGGTTCTCTCAACAGACACTCCCACTGTCACAGGCCAGAGCCATTCTTATCTGGACAGAGCAGTCAGTCCCCTTCAGGGCAGCTCTGTGGAGAGGGGATAGGGGGAGTGATGGTGGGGCTGCTGAAAAGAGCGTTCCAGGCAAAGTTGCATTCTTGATGGTGCATTCTGAAAGCCAAAACAAGGTTAGCGTAACTTTAGAGGAAGACTAGCACTAGATGAGACTGCAGAGGACAGTAACTTGGGACTCCATAGGCAAGCATTATTCAGCTGGCATACGCTAGTCAAATAAACCAGTGGACATCCTTTCTAACTGAGGGCAGTGCCTGTGTGTTACAAACTATAAAATACCTTGACTTTCACCCCAGGTTCATGCCAAATTAAGGAATTTGGACTTTATCCTGAGGGCTACAAGAAACTGCTGAAAAATTTTAAGTGGGGCTGCAGCATAGTCAGATTTGTATTTTTAGAAAATCACTTAGAGCTGGAGGCTGGGAAGAGGATTATAAGGTGGCTGAAATCTTCCTGGGAGAAATGATGGAGGTCTGATGAGAGGAGGTGATGAGAACAGAAAGAGTAGATAGATTCAAGGGTATTGGGGAGATAGAATCTATAGGACTTGGTGATTGATTAGACATGTCATGGATGATGTCACAGGGATGTGTCAAAGATGACTTCTAGGTATCTGGCTCAGGAAACAGAATGAACGAGGAGTGTCATTTTTTGAGACAGGGAACACAATAGAAGGAACAGGTGGTGGGAAGATAATCTGTTCTTTTTTGGACATATTGCTTCAAGGTGTCTGTGAGATTTCTACATGGATTCAGACATCAAGGAAGGAGTTGGATGTTTGAAACTGAAGCTGGAGAGAAAGGCCTGGGCTGTAGCTAGGGAATCTTCAGCATATAGGTGGTACCTGAAGGGAGGGATGAAATCATCCAGGGAAAGTACAAGCAGTGTAAAGAGCAGCAAGTCTAGGACAGAATTCTGAAGAACCTTAAGATTTACAGGATGAACAGAAGAAGAGCCAGCAAAGGAGCCCAAGAAATGACTATAGAGACAGGAGAAAAATCTGGCAAGTGTGGCTCATGGTAGGAGGCAGATGCCATATGGCAAGTGACTTGAAGAGGGAAGTGAGGAAATGGAGACTGTTGAATCTCTTCTTACAAAACATGTGGCTGTCAAGAGAAGGAAAGAAGAGATAGCACAGTGATTTGAAGTAGAAGCTGGGAGCCTAGGGAGAGTGTTCATTGTTCTGTTTGAAAGCAGGGAGACTTCAGTTCCAAGGAAACTAAAGAGGCATGACAATGAGATGCAATGACTGATCTCTGGTCAGGCCCTGAAACCACACACAGATATGCTGACACACAAAAGAGAAAAGAGCTATAAAAGATATCAGTTGCGGGGAGGGCATAACTCAGTGGTTGAGTGCGTGCTTAGCATGCGTGAGGTCCTAGGTTTAATTTCACGTACCTCCGTTAAACAAACAAACCTAATTACCCCCCCCAAAAAACCCAAATTAGTGGCACTATCAGGTAAAAACTAAATACAGGCTGTATATTTGATAATAGTATTATATCCAAGTTAATTTCCTGAGTGTGGTAATTGTATTGTGAGAATAAGAGAATTAGAAAATGTTTGTAAGAGATACATGCTGAAGTGTTTAGGGTA